CTATTGCAGGTTATTATTTTGACTTTTTATTATTTGTGGTGTATTCTTAGTACTGTTGTAGCTAACTTTTACGTTATTTTGTTAAGTATTTTTGCTAAGGGGTTTGTTACGAGGAAGTGTTTTTCTATTAGATTTAGAAATGTTCTGCCGGTTTTGTTCTATGGTGGGTTAAACTAAATTATATTTCTTTTTCTGTTTTGGTTGTGGTGGCGTGTATCCGCTTTTCTTTAGTTTTTTATATGGCGTTTTTTGTCGTTGAAAATGTCTATGTTAGACGAGTTGTTTGATAGCCCGTGGCTGATGGATTTAGGTATGTGTTTGATGATTGAGGGTGGATGGTTGGAAGATGTGTGTATGTATGTGGGAGTGTCATTATTCTTTTTGTATGGTTCGTAAGTTTCTTTGTCCAGGTTGAGGGTGACATCTAGGAAGTTTATTATTCTTGTGTTTGGTTTTTATTTCTATTTTGAATCCAATCATTTTTAGAATGTTTAATATTTTTTTCCTGAATCTAACCATTTTAGGGCCATTAGGTTTCTCTAGTATTCAGGCTAGCCATCAAAGGATAAGGTTACCTACCAGTTCTCAGGTTTCAACTCTGTCATAACTTATTACATCAAACAGGTCCTTTTTTTGTTTTTTGCCCTTGGTTCGTTGTTGTGGAATAATAGAATAATATAGAATTCTGGCAGTGTTTAATTATTTTTGTCTCATCATCCGTGATTTATACACGCTGTTGTGTTAGTAGTATTGCTTTGTTCAATATATTTTCTGTGATGGAGGAGTAGAAGTTTATTATATCGAACTGGATGAAAATAGCTTTGTTTTTGTTTTGTATTCCTGTGAACCAGTCGAACACTAGAACTTAATCAATGGAAAAATACCAAATCCGTCACGGCTTTGGTATTTTTCCATTGATTAAGTTCTAGGGTTTTCTTTAATTTAGTGTTGATATTTTCTAATATATTTTTGCTGATTTTTCCTATTTCGTTTTTTTGCACGGTTGATTTTGTATCGAAGTTAGCCTTGTGGTCCTTTGTTGTTATGAATGCTTGTTGTTCAGCTGTACAGTTTATCTTTTGGTCTATTTTCAGCTTATATATATATATATATATATATATATATATATATATATATATATATATATATATATATATATATATATTCTTAGGACTATTAGCCACCACAGCTCAGTCCATTTTTCCTTTTTGTTTTGTTTTACTAATGATCCTAGTCATTTTGTCTAGGATTATATTCCGACTTATTCGCAGGTTACACTCTGTTATAGCTTCCCGTGGTTAAATCATGGACAAGATAATCATTTTTTTCTTCAATTATTTCACCCCAAGCAATAAATAAACAGGAATTCTGAACCGGAAAAAGAACAGGCAAAATATAACGATTGACATTGCATTTAGATTTTTGAAGATCAATGTTGACTAGAAAAGAAGGAATTGGGAGAGAGTTCCACAAACGAGAAGTGCGAGAGAAGAAACGTTTAGCATAGAACTTACGGTTATATTTAGACTTGTCACCAATCTAGTACTGGGTTTAATTTCATAGACTCTAGCTACCATAGAGAAATAATCATCAGTACAATTACCATGAAAATATTTATAGAAAAGGCACAGAGAATCTATGTTACGCTCGTGGGAAAATGACCGAAGCCGAGAAACAAGGTCAGGACCGATAACATTGCAGATTCTGCTTTGCTTTTGTATCTCTAAATTCATACTAGAAGCATCAGACCAAACCTGGTAGTAATATCCAAATACAAGGACGAATGGTAGACTTATAAAGGTGTAAGATAGATTCTGGAGAGACAAATTGTATAACACAACACAGCGAAACAATTTTCCTAGCAGCAGACCTAGTAATTTATAAATTTATTTAATGTAATATTTCCATTTCATGTCAGCCTGTTAACTAGAGAAGGTGAAATGAGTTTCTTTCTTGGAGGTTAGCATCAGCCATGCTGATGGAAGGTAAAAAGGTATCTTTCGTGATTAAAAGAAAGCAGTTTCATTTTAGAGGTGTTAAAATTAATGAACCACTCTTTACCCCAGTTAACAAATTAAGATTCTGGGTAATTTTTTAGATCGGCTGTCAATTTGATCGAAGCGATCATATATACTATTACGCCAGGAGTAAATAGTTGTGTTATTCAGTATAGATACCGAGTTGAAAACTGATGACATCAGGAAGGTCATTTATAAAAATTAGGGACAACGTTGGTTAAAGAATAGAATGTTGAGAAGAATGGCCGTTCAAGACCACTTTTCACTTCGCAAAAACGTAGACGGAATGTGAACCGGGCGATAGTTGAAGCTGTCTATTTATTATTTACATTATTCGGACTATTATCCTCATCTTTGTCGCCATATTTATCACAACGTTTCGGCTGTTGTACGCTCCGGCCTTCTTCAGGTGGTTGGAATGTCGAACTGAACCCTTTATTTGGCTCACTGAGACTGTTCTAGTTCCATGTGCCATGTTTTTAATGGATGTCAGTTATCAGTTATCTCCTGTTAATTTCCCTCTGAAAGTTCTCCACTGCCTTAACCAGGTATTGAACTCACACTCTTTGGGTCCTGTCACTGGATCTAACCAATGCCTTTATCCACTGTGCCATGTGTCCTCAAGGACACATGGCACAGTGGATAAAGGCGTCCAACCACCTGAAGAAGATCGGAGCGTACAACGGCCGAAACGTTGTGATAAATATGGCAACAAAGATGAGGACAATAGTCCGAATAATGTAAATAATGTACATAATACCTCATCTCAGAAATATAGACAGACACTGTTTATTTCTATTTAATTTTTTATAAGAAAGATTTAATCAGTTCAAAAACTCATTCACAAATACCATAACTTTTCAACTTGTGAAGACCATCATTTCAAATACCTTCAATACTTCAATACTTCAAATACCTTCAAGATACATAAAGCAATAGCTCGAGTTTCACAAATCTTAACTAAAGCTTGATAGCCTCTTTCAACAAAATATTCGGTAATACATCAGCAGTTAAACTAGAGAAGCAAAATCAATATGGCTTATCTGAAAGAAGATCATGTCGAGTGAAAGGCTTAAACAATTCAGAGTTGATTAAAGCCTCTAGTACTTTGCCAAAAAAGAAGGCTAATAGGCTGATCGAAAGGTTCACCTGAGTTCTTAGACTGGAACTACAGAAGAGAATTTCCAATAAGCAAGAAAGCAAGAAGCAGCAAGGCATTTCTTGTAGAGTTTAGATAGAACAGGAGACAGTTCAGAAGTACATTTCTTAAGGACTATTGCAGGAATACGATCATGCTTTGTGGGGAACAAGTTTAGAGATGATAGCAGAAATCATAGATGGGGTTATATGCATATAATTCAATAGAGACTCAGTTCTTAGTGAAAAGTCAGTTAACGATAATCCAGAAGACTCAAGAGTAGAATTGAAAGAGAATTTACGAGCAAAACATTCTACTTTATCAACAGAAAACATTAATACCTTAAATTGAGGGAAGAGGGTAAAGATAGATGACTTGCTTTTATTTAACACAAAGCAGTCAGTAGTTACGAAAATCAAATATGTTATTCTGTCAGCAAAATAAGACTTACTCTTTTTCAGGATAGGTTTACAATTATTACGGACAGAGACAAAGGCGTGTCTGTTGTGATCGAAAATATCCCGCTGGCACAGCCGGGAAAAGTGATTCCTGTGGGCTATAGCGGCTTAACATGTAGGTGTGAACCAAAATTGATTGCGGTTTCAGACCATCTGCCCACCCACTGTCTGGCTATTCTTCTTTTGCTTAACGTGGAACCTTTGAAGATGACATTGAAAATATTGTTGGTACTTATGATGTGGCTATACCATTTCATCTTGACCTGGAGAAGGATAGGCTCCGCCAGGTCTACTTGCACAAAATCTTTAAACCTTAAATCAGATGATTTAGCCTCTACTTTTAATTTTTGTGGCCCTGTGCCTGATTAATAATGAATATAAAAACTGGCTGGAATCATTGATTTACATTGAAAGGGTGAAAATTCTTCCAGTTGATATAGTGTGAAATTAGCCGAATACGTGTTCTACGAACAAAGAAATGTAAGTTGTCATATAAATTCTTTTACTTCTCTTAAATTTCTGTTTAAACAATAGCACGACGTCTATTTTTTTTTTTTTAAGTTTCCTTTGTTATTATGCTAAGAAGTCCATTTGAATGACCTCCTCTGGATATAGCTGCATAAAAACAGACCACGAGAAAGCATTTGCAAGCTTAATATTTTTTCGCTTTTTAAATAATTCGGTACAGTTTTAAGAAAAGCAGTTTTTTAACTTATTTAGATAATTGCATTTGGTGGGGGGGCTCCATTCGAATAAATTGTACTAATATGAAATATCCGACAACCACAATGCTTATTATTACGAACGCTGTAGGTTTACTAATTTACGACTGAATGTTGACAAGGTAGATATGAATTGTTTCTAACACAATGAATTAAAAAGAAACTGCATTGGCAGATACATTACTTATGTCAACTTTTAAAATTTGAATTAAAAATAATTAACAGTGGAAATATTTATTATTAAAATATGCTTTTAAAAATTGTTATGCAAATTAAATGTTATCACTTATGATGTTATCGCGTCATTTGTTAATAAAATATTTAAAAGACTGATACCAAATCCTGCAAGTTAATTCCCTGGCACTTTTACCTGGAAAGTTAAAAATAATATTAACTCAGGGGCGGGGGCATCCTACCAGGCATTACTTCTCTTTCGGAAGTGAGCGGAGTTTATTGCCCGGCGCCTGAGGCGTCCTCAAAAGAGGAAGTACCCAGTGAACTTATCCTATCTGTCATTATAACATCAAAATTACCTTACCTGTCCAGATAATAACATCAAAATTACGTTACCTGTTCAGAAAATAACATCAAAAACAACATGACTCATTGGCAGTATGGAGGTTAATTAGATATATAATTTGATTATATGTTTTTTTTTTTCCAGAAAATCCCCGATGAGGATATAATGTACTCTTTTGATACAGAGTGTGGACATGCAAAAATTTTAGTCCAGACCGCGGGTCACATCGCTGCGGGTGCCTATTATTACCAACGGAGGGACGTTATCCCTGATCCCTGGCCGAAGAACAAGGTCGGTAACTAAATATACTTTATTCTATATAGGTAATTAAATTATAATTGCAGAAATAATTGTTTCCAATTAAATCAGTAGTCGATTGGAATTCTTACATGAAATACATCTGTTGCTCATTTCGTTTTAATTAATAATATCTTCTTAATAAACGATATTTACAAGAAATTAATTCAATCTCAATTTAAAGTTTATAAACTACGTCAGGTGTTTTTGTTTTGTTTTTAATAATGAAAAATGAAAAAAAAATTAAATTCTTTTATGATAATAATTGTCTGTATGTTTATCATTCATCTCTCTCTTTATATACATGTGTGTGTGTGTGCGTGTGTGTGAGAGAGAGAGAAACCGCGCATATGTGTGTGTATGTGTAATAAAATATAGTTCTAAGATATGCTATATTTCTGGATAAAAGGGCTCAATATCAGGGATAGAGAGTATATAAATATAAAAGTGGACATTGAGGCCAACATCAAGCGGCGACAGTCTGTTTCATACTTAGATGCACTCTTCAGGCCGCTGAAGATTGCGTTAAAGCAATTTTCAGGCAGGGAGGGAAATTTTATGGTAATGAGGATTGCTAATTATTTTTATTTTTATTTCCTTTTTTTTTTTGGATGATTCTACTGAGTTTCCGAATACAATCAGGATATTCTGGCCACGTTTGTACGAGGGTCTTATTAAGTGAAGCGTTGTTATATATACATCAATATATAAAATATACAAAATATAGAGTCAAGATAAAGGAAAGTTCAAAAGACTTATCTTAAGGCCGATTTGATGTCTCGCAGATATGCCATTCATCAGAGTCCAATAAATTTATTGAATTCTTTAGCAGATATTTTATATATATATATATATATATATATATATATATATATATATATATATATATAGAGAGAGAGAGAGAGAGAGAGAGAAGGAATGCTAGTTGAATTACAAACAAATTTTTAACTTGTTCGATGCAAAGAATGTTATCTCGTGTGATGTTTAAATTTTTGTTAAATTTTAGCAAAATAAACCCAGAAAATTCACCAACAATAATATAATTCAAAATATTAGATACTTAAACCATCGTAATTTTAGGACATCAGCAGTGGATCGGACCGATTGAAACCTGTACTCCTTGTCACTCAAGAAGTTGTTCTTATCTAGAAATTTCTTGTTTTTAGCCTCAAAAAGCTTGCTAATGACACTGAGGAGACTGATGGGTCTATACTAAGAGGGGCATGAGCGCTTACCCGGGTTCTTGAAAACCTGGCATACACGTGACACTTTCCACGGGTTTGGGAAGGACTTCTCCTCGAAGCAACGGTAAAATAACTTCGCTAAGATCGAGGATAGTTTCGGGTTGATATTCTTAAGGACAATCACTGAGATTTTGTCTGGGCCAATAGCTTTCTTAAGGACAAGGCTTCTGATAAATCTCGTGATAAAATACTACTGAGATTCTACTCAGCGAGACAGAGGAAGGGGATGTCCAGTGGCTTCTAAATTTGAATTGGAGTCAAAGATTGAGGCGAAGAGTTTCGCCTTATCTATCGATGAAGATATGACCTCTGGAACATTTATAATATTGGGTACAGTGTCTATTCAACATTTGATTGGAGATCTTTCAGAACCCTCGGGATCCAATTTGTTTGTTTTCAACCTTGGTCTGGACTGCTTGTGCATAGCTAGACTTTGCATTTTCTAGAAATTTCTTGCAATGATTGCGGGCGATTCTGAACTCCTCGCGATAGATATTGAAGTAGTGGTTACGGTAAACTATGGATGCAGTGCACGCAGGAGTGAACCAGGTCTAGCTGTTTGTTTTTTACTGTTTTTTTTTTTTTTTTTTTTTTTTTTTGGTGTGGGTGGGTATAAAACTCTCCATTCCAGAAAGGATTCATTCTGAGACAAGGGTAACAGTTTTGGAGGCAGGTTAGGAGAATTGCTTCCACTATACAAGATCTAAACTTTGTCCAGTTTGCCTTCATGAAACGAAAAATCGTTCTATGGATGACTAAGGGATGACTTTAGTTTGCCATCAATTTGGACACTGAATGGTCCGACGTGAGAGATTTTTGCTAACAAATTAAATAAAATGTCCTGATGTCCTGTCACGTCGAGACACTGGTGGGTTTTTCGATGATCTCAGCGAGTTCATAGGCAATGGAGAAGTCTCTCCAATATCTGCCTCCTTGATAGGGTTTTTTTTTTTTGAGTGTACTAACCACTCTTTATGGTGAATATTGAATTATCCCTGACCGAGGAAAATTCTGTGAGGATATTATCATTCCACTCAGATATTAGATCAAAAATTAACGCTCCATCGTCCTGAGGACGACAAACAGCAACAATGAACGTGGTACTGTGGATAAATGCCATGCAGAAGCACATATATGGGAGATCAGGGACCTCGTTTCTTGTGACCCTGCCACAGGGAAACCTGTTCTTAATGTAAGTGCTGAATCCGTAGCTGCGGCTATTTAGGTGGTCGTGTTTGGCTATTAGGAGTGATTAGCTCGGGATTGGTAGTTCCTGCAGTGGAATTGAGGCAGTGATAGATGTTTCAGACAGAAACAGAAGGTTGATTTTGAACCCAAGAAGATGATGTTCCACCTCTGGGAAGTTGGAACACAAACTCTTCACATTGGTGTAGGAGATGGTATCTTTTGGGTTTACTTTTTCTTTTTTGAGTTTGGGTTTGCTAATTTTAATCAATTTCATGTGTGGATTGAGTTTCTTTTGTGGAAGACGAGTAGACAATGAGACAGACACACCCACAAGAGATGCATGCATAAATAAACTTGGACTAATTAATTTGTCCCTTAAAACCTCAAGCAAAAAGTGCGTTTGTATTTACAATGTGGACATTAAGATCTTTAAGCATAAGTTCTAAATGTATTAACCGCCTATTTAATTCTCTAATAAAATTCTTAATTGGTCTATAATTTTATATAAACTCCCGAATTTAAAGGAAGCTTTTCAGCGATATAAAAGTTGCTAATAATGCCTTTTTTTTTATTCATTTGACAGACAATTTATGGTGTAAGCATTCATCCGCTTTACGGAGGTTATTTCTCCCTGGATGCTGTCATAATCTTAAGAAATATTTATGACCCGAAAATGATAAAAAAGCCGCCACCGGATGTCGTTAAAAGCCACGCAAAGAGGGTGGAATTGTTAACCCTTTACAACGACTACTATCAGAATCAAAAATGGCGTGATATCATTCCAGTTCAAAGGAAATACACAGACGAACACATGAAATATGTGATGACATATGGTGAAGAACGTGAAAATTATGTCAAAAGACTGATTAATGGACACTGTCGCGGACGACAAGACTTACGTCTTCTTTATTTCAAAAAATATATTTTCAATTTTTAGGGTAACTTTCGTGGTATGAGGATTAGCAATTTCATTACGTAGATCCCTATAGTGTGCGTTCGATCCGTATCATTTATAAAGTTTAGTCATATTTGTCAGGTCACAACCTGACAAATATGACTAAACTTTATAAATTATTAACATTAAATTCTTTGAAAATAAATTTGTTATATATCACTCGTAGCAAATAAAACGTTTTTTTTTTTTACTTTATTTGTTATTTGTCGTTATTTGGATATCACTTGGAGAGTTGGAAGCGTGTGGTAAAATTTCCTGTTTGAATAATTTGACCATAAAAAATTATTACTTGCCCTAACATTGACTTTCCACTAACTCCCAATTTGGGCATCTATTCTGTCATCTGGATTATTTCGATTTTGTCATCAACAGTAGGACGGACTTAGCGAACCATTCAAAACAGGATTCTCAGTTAAGGCACCATCTCCATAAATGGAACATATTATTTTGCTGTTTGTACAACCATTTTTTTTCCAGAAATAAGAGAGCGTGAAATGACAAAAAATGTATCGTATTTTCCTCTACTTTCACTTTTAACGTAAAAATATTTAAAATTCAAATTCTATCTTTCTGAATATATATATATATATATATATATATATATATATATATATATATATATATATATATATATGCCATGAATTCCAGTCACGTGTAGAACAAAATGACATGGTTAAACGCCACCTATTGAAAAGCGCGACGATCCTTTGTCCCAATCCAATTGAAAACAAGGCATGAGGTATAAAAAGAGAATTTTCAATCAATTGCTGCTGGTTTGAGTAAATTCAAAAGCATTTACGTTCGTATGTAAGGGCTCAGAAATGATTTAGACAATGTATCTATTGAAAAGATAAATACAAGAATTTACAAGAGGCTGTCAGTCAAATCAGCTCAAAATATCGATTAGTCTACACAAATCTACACCCGCTAAATTAATCCGCACAAAAAAAAAAAAAAAAAGAAATTGGCTCGAGATAAAAAAAAGGCTCACACAATTGAAATTACATTCTAGTTTATAATAAGCTTGTATTTCCTTTTCTCTTGTAAATTGCTAGTAATGACATTTACAAAAATGTATCAAATTTCTCTCAATTAGACACACGTCGATTTCATATCAACTGGCATATATTTTAGATAAAAATGTTCATAAATTACAACTAATTGTCCTTAACTCCCCAAATCGTCATCATCTTATTAACATAATGGCGATTTTGTAAGCATAGCTTAGGTGTGGCACAAGGCCAAAAGTATAAGGCACCCTGTCAGGATCGAACTCACTATACCCAGTCGTAATTGTTCTAGCGAGACAAGCTCGTTAACCATTACACCACGTCGACGTGCCTCATCGTATTAAATGTATTCCATTACTACAACATTTACATTCTCATCGTGTTTAGTAATAATCAATGATTTATTACGACGTATCGAATTAACCATAAGAAATTTTGGATTTCGAACCATCGGTCGGGGTAGCGGCGCATGCGTGGATCAAATCTTTAAGCCAAGCTTTTAATGCACTAAAACTTATCTGAACTAAAAACATGAGAAAAAATATTACAATTTCAATTTTCAATTTAGAAATATTTTGTCGTTTCAGTGGTACATTCTCAAAATTATAATAAACACGTTATTTTATCAGTTTTTGAAAAAACAAAGACTTTTCAGGAAAATAACTTTCTCAAGTTTACTAGCTGTTATCGGTCTTTCCAATATTGTAGAGTGGGGGGGGTCTTTCATTGCCATTTGTTTGAAATAGTATAGAATATCAGAATATTTTGATTATGTCATTTTTAGGGAGAGGTGGAAAAGAGAGAACATCAAATCTCTTATGAAAGGCACAAACGAGAAAACACGAGACTTAATTGCTAATTTCATACAATTTATTTATATTTTATGTGTATTAGTGTGTATTTTTTAGGTTACAATTCTTTCATAGTACAATTATTTCATAGTAAATGTGATAAAAGGGAGAAGTTTCTCCGTATTATTATGCACCATATTCACGAATAGAAGTTGGGCGCGTGTTTCCCGTACCAAGTCTCGTGGCGAAGAGATTGAATTTAACAACGTCTTTTGGCGGGATGTCCGTATTTCCGACAGGGACAGTTTTTGTTTCATGCTGAGAGAATTTTTTATTATTTTTATTTTTCATTAAATTTATTTTAAGCAAAGTTTAAATGTTATTGCCTTATTTTATTCATAATTTTCATTAATATTATTATTTTATATTTTATTTTTATTTATTATTAATAATAATAATAATCCTACATTTACATCCCCCACCAAATTAGCGGCGCTAATCATTGGTGATGGATGCCTATTTAAAATAAAATAGACATGATTTATTTAAAAAAAAAAAAAATAGAAAATGAATTCCCCTTCCGGGGAGTAGTAGTTTTTTGTTTTGTTTTTTCTTTTGTATTGAAGCGGTTGTTTTGAAAAGTATTCAGAAGTTTGTTTTGGTCTGTTGAGGGGGTATTTTTTTATGTTTGTTGCTAACGTTTTGTGGTGTCGCTATTTTTTTATCTCCTAGTAACGACTTTGAGGAGGTGTTTTTTATTTTACTTTATTTTTTTTTATTTTTATTTATTTATTTATTTATTTTTGAATTTTCTGTTATTAGGTCTTTTCATGTCTGGTATAGTGTCCAATGAGGATTTTTTAGCTTAGTGTCAACGTCCTTCATAAAGAGTGATCCTTCAGAAAATTGCTTAATTTCTCCTTTTTTTTTTTTTTAATATTTTGGTAGCGGTAGAACCATTTGGTTGTATTCGTGGATTTTGAAGGTTGTAGTTTGGTTCCAGTGACAGTGATAAGTATATTTATAAGTATATATTTCTCATTTCAAGCTGTTTAACCAGCTCGTTTTTGCTTTGTTTTGTTTTTATTCTAACGTTCTATTATTCCGTTTGTTTAGGGTGGCGCATAAAAGGTTTTATACAGATTAGCAAACATTTCACACATTTTGTGAACCAACTATTTCAAGGTATTTCCATAAGTTCTGGAATTTTAACAGAAACTACGTTGTCTCGTTACATGTCGAGAATGTCTTCAACTAAAAATGTAGATAAAAAGAAATGCTTATTTGTTTTTGTTGCTTTGCTTGGTGATTATTTTTTTTACATCATCGTGAATTCTTTTTGGGGGGGGGTATTTTTATTTATTTTTTTTATTTTTATTTTATTTTTATTTTTTTGTAATTATTACTAGTGGAGTCGGTTTCTTTTCGCGTCGGTTTTTTATGGTGTGGGGAATAAGATGTGTTCTTTTGTGATTTTTGTATGTCGTTGGTCACCAAATGATGTGGTGAATAGGAAGATATTTCTTGTACACGTCAGGTTAACAAACCAATGTCCAGAATAGTGTGTTTCATTTTTTGTTTTTTGAACGTCAGTCACCAAAATGAATGAATGTAGTTGGTTTTTATACACGTCGGTAGTCAACAAATGATGTCGGTGGATAGGTTGTTTTTGTTATGCACATCGGCGGTCATCAAAACGTTGTGGCATCACACACGTCATAGTAGCAGAAATTAGCCGCGTATTCACGGAGATAAAAGCATCCTTGACAGAAAATAAAACGTACACAAATAACGGGAAAGCGTGGTAAATTGTACGGTAATCTCATACAACTTAGTTATATTTTTCTTGTGTATATTGGTGTGTGTATATTTTAGGTTACAATTGTTTTATTGTACATGTAATAAAAGGGAGAAATTTACTCCGTAGTATTACAAGCCATATCACAGTGAGAAATCGGGCACATGTTGCCCCTATCAAGGTTCGTGGCGAAGAGATTGAATTTAACGTCTTATGACGGGATGTCCGTATTTCTGACAGGAACAGATTTTGTTGCATGCTGAGAGAGTTTTTATTATTTTTATTTAATTTATTTTTAAAAAATTTAAATGTTTGTGGAATAATGTATTATTCCATCTACAACATTTTACGCGCGCGCGAGTTTCCTCCCTTTCTTCCACACTCGCGTGTGCGCGCGCGCGTTTGACACCCCTTTCTGCCTCTTTCAGTCTAATACAGTAGTAACTGGTTTTGTCGTCAGTCAAGCGACCTGCTACTCCTTCTTATGCAAATTAGATTTTTGAAATCTTCCCGCGAAATTTGTGACGTCACCGACAAACTGTTGTTTCAAAAATTAGTTGTGATCCAGACTCGGACCTGGGCAGACTCATTTTTATCCATGTCAATATTTTAGGTTGACTGACGAAGGACATCTTACGATGCGACCACAAATAATTGATTCTTCGTCCCTTTTGGCTCGTCATTCAAAATTCTTCTACGAGACGATGCAAACACCAAATAATTAATTCTGCGTCCCTTTTGGCTCGTCATTCAAAATTCTTCTACGAGACGATGCAACTCCAAGTATTGACTTTTCGTCCCCTTTTGGCTCGTCATTCAAAATTCTTCTACGAGACGAAGTAACTCCAAGTATTAACTTTTCGTCCCTTTTGGCCTCGTCATAAAATCTGTTTTGAACCAGTACCAAAAAAGAAAAAATTATATATACATAACATTTCACTCACATTAGCAAAAAACTCGCAGTGAGTATTTTTCCTTGTATGTATATTATCATGTACATTGACTTATCTGGAATATTCTTCTTCTTCAAGAACTTTTCCCGCCTTAGCCATCTTGCTTTCTATTTTGGCGCGGAACATTTTCATTGATCCCTACTACGGGATAAGTTACTTGTTTTCCTGCATTTAATAAAAATTACTCTTGTTGGAATCCAGTCTTTTTCAGTCATTCTGTGCCGGCTATCTTAATATATTTTATTTTATGCACGTGTGGATTAACCACATTTCTTCGTTGTTCATTCACGCATTTTTTATTTATTTTTTACTTTGCTTGTAGACTCGGTAGTTTAGTGTGGTGTCTGGCACAAGGCCACTTAGTAATAAACCAGCACTGCACCCTACCGGGTCTGCAACATGTTAATGTTTTATTTTATTTATAATTATC